TCTTTCTTACAGATTAACATTTAGTGAATAATAAAAGATGGATATACTTTTCTCCTTTGCTGCCCTTTGACCTTTGACCTTTGAAGTAGTATTACATATTTATATTTAGTTATATTGCTCTTACTTTTTGTTATCATGCTAGCTGACATTATCTTTTATATTACCCTGTTGTATAGAATTCTCTCTCTTTTTATAATAAATTGTTGCCCCAGAGGGAACCCTGTGTCATGTTTGGAGTTCCTGTGGTTACCGGCCAGCGGCTGCACGTGATAGTATACATCTGTGCTACGCTTTGGTTGAGCATGTGCTTGTACCGTTTTGTTAACTTAGATTTGGCTGAGTTTTAATGCTATTTTATGTTAAAAGGTGATCTAAATCGTGAATTAAAGTTTGAATACGTGGAGAGGTATGACTGAAACTTCTTGTCAGTCGGCAGCCACATAAATATTTGGTTTTGCCCTTAAGACCACTATACACTTAAGTTTATTATGTTAATTTATGTATTGTATGTGTGACATGTGCAGTAGACTTTGGCCCCGGCCATCTTGGATTATACATGTGCTTTTCCAACAAGGACACTTATCTTGCTTGATTCCCTATTTAATACACTACAGACATCTTTTTAATTCATGGTTTAGCATTAACCAATCATCTATATCCTTCATTAACTTTTTGTTTTACCTATTGACTTATATTGACATACATATATTAGGACCTAGAAATTGAAAATAATGATTGATGTACAATATGAGCTGAGTAGTGTTCAGACAGCTCAATACCAGCTGCCACTACCAAAAGTAATCCACCTTAAGACTACAAAGATTCCTCAATGCATTAAAAGCATAGTTTAAACATTGATTCTGCCTGTCTTGCCCAGGCTTGTTGGAACAATCTCCTAAGAAAAAATATGTCTTTTAAGATGGGTTCATTAAGATCTGGCACCAACACATCTTTTTATCAATCGCACCTTGCGAAAGACTAAAACAACTTACACCATCCAAAGGAGCAACACAATACCCCCATATGTCCTTGTCTAGTTGGTTACAATCTACGACATGTAGTTTAGTGCGTTTACCACCCTAGGTGGACTGCTGGATGTCTAACAGGCCTGCGGCCCAAATTGATAAGGCAGTCGGCTAGCATGGGCACTAAAGATGGTCGTCACCAGCGTCTTCAGTGGATCTTTTACGTCCGCCTTATACAGGGTTATATAGTGAAGTCAGACGGGGCTTACGGTTTTAAGTCCTTGCCCGAGAAGACTTGAAGGTCTAACCATTTGCAGAAATAGTTATGAAGGCAGCACCTTCTCCTCAGTTATTTTAAGACCCTGAGTGTTGGTTCGGCCTAGGCTTGAACCACGACCTCACGCACAACAGACTGACGCTCTCAGCAACTGAGATAACCAGGTGGCGGTGTAACCCATAAGATTGCATTCGCAGAAAAGATAATATAAACCAGTATGTCATGGTCTATATACCATGAAATACGTGCTGCTTTCTCTTTGAAAAATGAAGTATTTAAAGCAGTAAATAACTGAGAGTAAAAGTGTCATATATTAGACTAGAACCTGCCTAGCAACAGCCACTTCCGGTTGTCACATACAGGACTTTATCTGTGACATCAGACATCGTTTATTTTGGGGACTTTTAGAGAGTTAGTTTGCCCCGCTTGTAAAACCTATTCTGAATGAGCGTTCATTAAAAACCTTTCAAAACATAACAATATTGGCGACGAGGATGGGATCATGGCGTCTTTTGAAAAAATAGAGCAGTTTAATGGACAAGAAGCGGAATTTGAAGAATACGTAGAGAGACTGGAGCAGTATTTTGAGGCGAATGACCTGTGCAAATTAACCCTGAATGGAGATGGTTCAAACGAGGCAGACGTTGAAGCCTGTTTAAGGAAAAGACGTGCTATACTCTTAAGTATTATTGGCTCTGCGACATACTCAGTCCTACGAAACATAATTTCTCCTAGCAAACCAGCAGAGAAAATGTATGAAGAGTTGGTAGCGGTCTTACGAAACCATTTTGCACCGACAAAATCTGAGACAGTACAAAGGTACAAATTTCATTCACGTGTACGAAGAGAAGGTGAGAAAATAGCCGATTACGTAGCTGACCTGAGGAAAACCGCCGAATCTTGCAATTTTGGTGATAGTCTACATGATATGCTGAGAGACCGACTCGTGGGTGGAATTAAGAACGAGAAAATTCAAAATCGACTACTCGTGGAGTCTGACCTCACTTTCGACAAAGCCTACAAGATAGCCATTGCTCAAGAAACCGCGGCTGAGGAGGCCATAGCATTGCAAGACAGCCTCAGACCTAGCCTTTCAGTAAACAGGGGACAGAACAAGAAAGATAAGGCCGGAGATAAGCCCTCGACCGTTTTCGAGAAAGGAAATAAGAAGAAATGCTTCAAGTGTGGTTCAAAGGACCACTTGGCACCAAAATGCCAACTGCCAGCTCATATTACATGCAACTATTGTAAAAAGAAAGTCCATTTGGAGAGAGTTTGCCTGTCAAAATATCCAAAGGCAGCTGGAGTGCAGACTAATCTTGTGAATACATGAGAGAGCCCCGAAAATTCCGACAGTGAACCAGTTGAGAATTAGAAGCCTTTGTACCACATAGATTCGCCACAAGACGGATCCCCAATCCGTGTTGAAGTAACACTCAATGATATGCCTGTTAGTTTCCAACTAGACACAGGAGCCGGGGTGTCCCTAATGAATTATGACCATTTTAAGAAGTACTTTAATGATGCTCCCATTTCCTGAGTTTTAAACACTTCTTTGTGTTAAAATAATTTTTAATAAAAATATTTATTTATCTATCAGTATTATTAATATTATACATAATATTTATATCATTGGATATACTCATAATAATTTAAAAGATTTTTCATATTCAACATTGATTTTTAAATATTTTTTATAATTGCAACAAACTTTCATTATTTGATAAACACACTTCATGACAATACATTTAATTTTTTCAACATAAAATAATATAGATTAACACTAACATTTCCAGTTCTACCAAAAAGATTGTTGAAGAATATTGTTTATGGTGAGAGATTCACATAAATTTGGAATCTGGTATTTTTTCTTACAATATTATGTGTATAATATTATTTGCCAAAGACATAGCACACATGTGATCTGAGTATATTGGTAGAGCTGTAACAGTTTGAATATAAAAGAGTTGCTTACTATCCTTTGTAGAAACATCAATTAATATCACTTTCTTGGATTCCAAGCTAGACGTGAACTACATCTCTTACTGTATTTGACACAACTTGTAACCTGGAATAACAAAATTGTATTTAGATTGTGATTAAGTTTTTCAATTGTGAGTTGCACGAAAAAGCTAGAAATTATTAGCCATGGTAGCCAAAAATCAACAAGGCTTTACAATGCACTTTACCCCCCCCCCCCTCCCCAGTTTTTCAAGGCTTACTTAAGCCCTGCAATGTAAATTGAATATTAAACCACAAAATTTCTATAAACAATATATACTTAACCTTGGGGTCTAATTAATGAATTTATTTAGGTTAGTTTCGAATGGGACAGGAAACTAGTAAAGTCAAAACAGTCTAGAAGGTGTTGATGAAAAAAGCTCTTAAGCATCAAAGCAGAAAAAAATCCTAAAAAAGTAAGAAAAACAGAATAAATTCTTTCCTTCCCCGAGAATCCCTTTGAGATTTTAAATATATAGAAGAGAATTTAGTCAAATAGTACAAAAAGTGTTGTTTTTCCAGGAGTGCAAGACCCACTCTGCGGCTCGTCCACGTGGTGTAAATAATTCGCAATTTTGAGAGTCAAAAACACTACAAATAGAATAAAATCAAGTACGACGACACATATTTAAGGTGATAAATAAGAGCTCACCTTTTTAGTAAGAACTAATGGTAAAAAGAGAAGTTTTTGGAGTGTTTTTTTTTTGACTTCTTCCTCATATTTTGCGACCAAGTCAACAGAACTGCCGCGGTTACCGCTGATGTAAGGTTGGCTCATTCCCACCACAGGAAACCCAACACAGTATCTTCAGAACCTCAGCTGCCGGCTCAATGAAAATCATAAATTTTATATAATTCGTTTGTATTCGACATCTTTTCTTTTTATATTTTGATTATTTTGTAGGATATAAGTTGAATTTGTCAAAGTTGAAAGGTTTATTACGGATGGACCATATATGAAAAAGAAAATTTCTTATGCATTATTTATAAAATTTTAGTATGGAAATTTATTCAGGGTTGATGCAAACACAACGCTGGACAAAGTGAAAACATAGCCGGTTCTCAAACAGAAGAATCGATCTGATATAGGCCAGGAAAACCGCTTAAGAGGCGTCGGATCACTATTTACAGAAGACTAAAAAGGTAAGGTGACTCCGGTTAAAGGTAAGCGGTTTTTCAAAATCAAAAATCGCCCGAAAAACTGTTTTTCTTCATGCAATTTTGCCGGCAGTGAAAAAGAAAATGGCGAAGATGTAGCATAGGAAGTCCTCGAGTTAAGGGTTCTGACTGCTCGCTTCACTAAGATTTTGCGTTTGAAATCTACACCAACACTAGAATCCGAATTTCTCTGGCATAGAAAGAATCCGATATTTCTCTTTTCATAGAAAGAGATCAAGTCAACTTAACTATTATACGATTGATGATTGAAATGATTGAAATGGATTAACGACAGAGCAGACAGTACAATGGTTTTCAGTACGAAACTGAACCTTCGTTGTACACGATAGGAAAAAGATGACTGTCTGAAATGTGAAGTACCAAAGGAAATCAGTCGTACGTTCAAAATATGTGCCCAATTCAACAACGAATCGCTGTCTAAACAAAGTAATATTTATATATGTATTTTATCAAATAGTGCAACAACCAAAACTAAAATCACCGTGTACCAAGAGTTAAGCTTTGTTCTCGTCTAGTGGGAGCAATCCTTAAATCTTGAGAGCACTTAACTATTTGGCAGTAAAAACTATATTAACTTGGGATCGTCCTTTAATCTAGTTGTGTTTAAAAACAGCTGTTTTTCATGCTAATGCAGCTAGCTCGACATGATTGGCGATTTCCCCAGTAGCTTGAACGATTCCTAAACAGTTTATTTAATAGTTACAGCATAAGACTGTAAAAAAGGAATCCTACAAAAAACTACTCTAATAATGCGTGAAATGATTTTATATATGAGGTTTGGTAATATTCAAATGGTTGGCAATATGATTATTTGCCACGGTTAGTAAACGCCATATGATTATCACGATGGGCAATATTGATTGATTGGTTTATATGTTTAAACAAAATATCTTTAGAAAAGAATGAAATATGTTTTGCATATGTTGGTGTGTGTGTGAATAAAGGACAAAGATAAGTTTTGGTGTAGCATACAGCACATTTTCTGTTTGTATTGTTTACAACTTAGCAGGGGAGAGAGGATTTTAATTACGATGTTGAATATTATTCATGTTTAAATGCATGGAGATAGCTTAGAACTATAGTGTTTTCGTGTTCTATAGGTTAAGATCGTGATCGTATGAAAAAAATCTAGATTCCATATGAAAGCTCATTTTAAATCTCCATCGAAGTTCAAATAGAAGTGACAGAAATAACCCTGATGCTTTCACTCGGTCGTGCTTCAGTAGTGAAACTGATTTGATAGCAGATCCCGGAGAGGGTTCAGGGAGATAGTACCCCGCTTGTGATTTTAAAATCATGTGTTCTCAAAGAAATTAAGCGTCCCTGGACCCTTCCTTCACTTTTGTCACCCCCCCCCCCCCACCCCACCCCCCCGGGAGACGGGGAGACACAAGTTTTCTTATGCAACAGCTTGAAAGTGCAAAAGACCACACACCCTCAGGTTGGTATAAGTTGGGCTTTCACTTTTCATGATGCAATAAGCTAAAAAATTAGGCGGACTAACAGCGTGAAAGCGTGTTTACCGAATGCATATATGCATGTTTCACTTTCCTACGAAAACGAAATATTTTCTTATGGCTTAGCTTGGCCTGACACTGGCAAAACAAGTATTGGTCAATGGTTTCATAACGCGGAATCGATTTCAAGAGCTCACAGTATAGCAACTTTGGAGAAAAAGGTCGAATTTTAAGGTATATCACTTCATTTGATTCAATTTACTGACAGTGTTGTTGTTATTCTTTTACGTTTAGGTTTTTTAGCCAACACGTAATTTCTTAGAAAATTATTGGTGATGTAGAGAATATAATGAATAGTGAAAAGACCTGACATTAACACCGCGCCAATGGCAGAAGAAACAAGTTCAAGCAGAAAAAGGTCAGTTAACCGAGCGGAGTATGTTTTTTTTTTTTTTGCCTGTAAAGCTAGTGAAGGTATATTGAAATGCCTCCTAAGGTTTAGCCTCCTTTGCAGCCGTTCTTAGGGTCGTCACGGAAACGTTGCGTGACGACCCTAAGAACGGCTGCAAAGGAGGCTACCTAAGGTTAGGACAGGAAAAGGTTTGAACACCCGAATTGGTAATGCGCGCGCAAGGGAATAAATAAGTTTTGTCGGTCAGAGATGTTATGGCTGACAGATGCATTAGAGCATATCTGGCTATATCTGTTTTGTTATTTGATCACGATTTGTCTATTCTTGTTGTTTAAGCCCCAAGAAGAAGTGTCCACACTCGCCACACTCGTTATGGGTGACCTTCAGTACCATGTACATCAACCTGATATCAAGGTGTTTTGGTGTGCTTGGAACAGTCATTTCTCGCCATCCATGCTTCACTCTTGCTATTTGCTGTGCTTTTGTTGGCTTTTGTTCAGTAGGTTTTGCCTGGATGAAGACAGAAAATAGGTTAGTTACGTGATATCCCCAAATAGACTTTTTTATATTTGGCCACGTGTCATGTAGACCACGTGTCATGTAAACCACGTGTCATGTATACCACGTGTCATGTAGACCATGCACGTGTCATGTAGACCACGTGTCATGTAGACCACGTGTCATTGTCTTTAGAATAAGATTATTTGTTTGAGTTACGTTTACATTGTATCCATATTCATGTGTCTTCTCTGATGTGAAACAAAAAAAAAAAAGAAATAATACTCTAGAGAATGACACCTGGTCTGAAATGGAAAAACATTACGCCCAAGGTAAAAAGATCAATTGCGCAGCACTTTAGTTTCCAGTCAAAACGAAACGACAAAGTTCAAGTATCGTAAAAAGTGCAGTTCTCTTGGAAAGGAAAATACTCTAATTATCATAGCACGGTGGTCGACAGTTTTTCGAAACCGGGGGAGGGTCGCTGTCTTACTAACCAGGAACATGATGTTGCAAAGATGGTTTGTACAATCTTTCACACACACATACACCCCCCTTGCCGCAATAATGTAAATCCTCAAACTTCATCTGTTACTTTATTTTCTACACAGAGCTGAAAAGCTGTTCATCCCTCAAGACAGTCGCGCCATTAAAGACATTGACAAAGCCAAGATAAACTTTCCCATGGAAAGTAGGATAGAAACTGTTATATTTGAACCCAAAGAAGCTAGTGAATATGTGCTGAGCAAAGCTTGTCTCCTTGACGTACTAGCTGTACATGATGAAATCATTAACACCAAACCTTATCAAGAACTATGCCTTTCTCAACCATCCACCAACAACTCTCCTTCATTCTGTCTGTTCTTGAATCCTTTAGACATACTGCAGTTCAACCAGTCGCTTTTCTCAAATGCTACACGGAAGTTTGAAGAAGCATTCAGAAATAAAGGGTTAATGATGCGTAATGGACGTCCATTTTGGTACAACATAAGAATGATGTTTGGTGGGCTGGACATTGATAGTGTGTCTGGAGAAATATCCAAGGTTGATGCTCTACAATTGCTGTATTTTATGAAAAACAGTGATAAGGAAGACAAAAAGATTATGGATTGGGAAAAGAATGTGGTTGAGAAAATAGAAAAGTTGAAAGATAGTCTATCATGTATGAAGGTATACATCAATGTGCAAAGAAGCCTAGATGATGCCATACAAGAAAGCACTGGGACAGACATTGCTTTTATCTCGGTGACCTATACTCTGATGATCTCGTTCGCTTGTATCATGCTGGGAAAGTTCAGAAACCCTTTGACAGGACACTCACTTCTTGCTAACATCGGGATCTTTGCGGTTTTTCTCGGGATTCTCGCGGGATTCGGGTTTACGATGTTTGTTCGAACACCTTTTATTAGTATAGTTGGAGCTTTACCGTTTTTGATTGTTGGTATTGGAATCGATGATATGTTTATTATCATAGATGAACTGGATCGCGTTGGACCACAACTAAGTGTAACTGATACTGTTAAGGTTGTGATGRCGAACTCTGGAGCAACCATCACCATGACAACTATGACAGACYTCGTGGCTTTTGCTGTAAGCACGTGGTCTGAACTGCCAGCAATACAATATTTCTGTCTGTACGCTGCCATGGCGATATTCTTTGCATATTTAATGATAATTACGTTCTTTGTTGCCATGATGACGTTTGACRTTCGTAGAGTRAAAGCAGGACGTCGAGACTGCTTCCCAGTCTGTCGTGTTCCTCYTCCAAAAGAAGGTGCGCCAGCATGGGACGAGCCTCGTACCCAGACCGCTAATAAGTTATTGACTGCATGGGCTAAAATACTGATGAGAAGAGAAGTGAAGTGCATTGTGGTGCTGATTTCATTGGGGCTCTTAGGTAGTGGTATATATGGGGCCTTAAACATCAGTGAAGATTTTGATACCAGATTGTTGGCTAAAGATGGCTCGCCGTTCATATTATTCACAAACGCTCAGGACCGATATTTCCCGCGTAAGATAGAAGTCAATATCATACTTGATGAGCAAGTCAACTACACGAGTCCAGAAACACAGAAAGATATTCTACACTTGTCAAAGATAGCTTCACAGAACTCGTTCTATGAAAACACAACTATGTCTTGGATGGAAACACTTGCTGCATTCTCAAAGAAGAAAGGTTTGAGTCTAGAAGGAAAACACTTTATGCCAACATTGAGAACATTCCTAAACATCCCAGCATTTGCTCATTTCAGGGAAGATTTACGATTATCTGAAGATAAAGGAATAGTCAAAGCGTCTCGTATTCTTTGCTACATCAAGAAATCCTTGAATTCGATTGGTCAACGAGATGCCATGGTAACGCTGCGAGAAGACCTGGACAACAGGTCACCTCTTCCAGCGTATCCAATCTCCAAGGCGTTTATTTACTTTGAACAGTATGCCATAACGTCCAAAGCAACAATACGTAACTTAGTGATCGCGTCTGTTGCTATATTACTGATTACCAGCCCTTTCCTGGTAGATTTTAGTGTGACTATCTTGGTGTTCTTCGGGTTCGTAGCGTTGGTGTTCGAGCTGTTTGGGTTGATGTACATCTGGGGCTTATCACTACATGGAGTGTCCATGATTAATCTGATTATGGCCATTGGATTCGCTGTGGACTATAGTGCGCATATTGCGCATGCGTATGTGATGTCATCCAAGAGTAGCGCCGAGGAGCGAGTGATAGACGCCTTGAGGACGTTAGGTGCAAGTGTGCTGATGGGAGGTAAGACACCTTACTAAGAAGTGCCGTCATGGTTACAAGGGATTTCCCCTCGTGAGATTCAGTGTACTAGTTTAAATTTCCCCACCCCACCCTTGCCAAGGTTTTGAATTTCGTTCAATCGAGTATGGACCAAATTCAAAACTCGCACCGATGTGAGGCTTAAGTTGTGAACAAAGGAATCTGGCGTGATTCGTGACTTTTGAATCACGCCAGATTACTTTGAGTCACACCAGATCCCTTTGTTCACAACTTAAGCCTCACATCGGTGCGAGTTTTGAATTTGGTCTATAGCCCGTCATGTGCTAATCATAATTTGTAAATCTTATCAGGAACTGAATGGGGAGCTTGCCCATCAATTAGGTGCAAACTATTTATCTCAGTTCTATAAATGGTTTGGTGTAGTAACTGATTGACTCACCTCATTTAACTATCGTATTTGATTGTTTCGTAGGAACAAGCACGTTTCTTGGGATGATCATGTTGGCCTTCGCCTCGTCAGAAATCTTCAGAATCTTCTTCAAGATGTTTTTTGGTATAGTGTTTCTCGGTCTTCTTCATGGCCTTTGCTTTCTTCCTGTCTACCTCACTATATTCTGCCGTAGTTCTTTCATAAGGAAGCAAGAGCTCGACCATAAGAAACTCAACAATGAACAGGAGATGCAGCCGATGAACAAACGACATCAAGAAGGTAATGATGGCGCAGAAGGCAACCGTACATCGCGCCAGCCCAAAGAACAAGGACTGGTGTTGAAGAATGATGTTGCTGATTTACAGGAATGTAATGGATACGAGGTGGGAACACGAACGCCTTTGATTGATTCTCCTAAAGATCCTGTTCGAGAAACGGATTTATAGTCACAATAATGTAGACCATAGGCTTTAATAAGTTCTATGGCCATGATGCATTGTGGTCTAGCATGGGTACAACAGTACCATATAAGGCATGGAGAACAAAAGGTGTTTGTACCCGGGCTAGACCACAATGCATTATGATCATTCTCTAAGCCATCTCAAAAAAGGCGTGGTTCTACTTTCCCTCCAAAACAAGTTGTCAGTTTCCGTGTGGGAAATTCCCAACTCAACTAACCGTGGAGGAGAGACTTTAAAAAACATAGGAAAATGTAAATAGCAAGACTTAGGAGTGATAGGTCAAAGTTTTAAATGTATCTATTAAGTTGGGGCCTATTTTTCCATTTTAGCTTCTGAATACACTGAATCAAAATATGGTGAATAGCTATTGTTCTGCACTGTTTCCATGGGAAAACAAGGCTAGTCAGTCACTTGGTGGTGCAGAACAATAGTTATTCAAATTGGTCACCATAATTTGATTCAGTGTATGCTCTTGAAAATAAAATGTGAAAACACTATTACCAAGGCGAAGCCATTCATTCCTTGTACAGAAATTGGTGCAGTCATAAATTAGGTAATAAACTTGTGACCCTTTATGCAAGGTAGTTTTAGACAATCTCTCAAAGTGTTTTAACTAAATTATTAACCCAAGTAAAAAGCTCTTTAAAAACTAGGCTATAAGACAGATGAGTGAAATAGAGGATATTACATGGGCGCTTGGAGATACGAAATTTATCTTTGAGTGTTGAAAAGATCTCTCACGAGTGAGAGATATTCAACACTCAAAGATAAATTTCGTATCTCCAAGCGCCCATTTAATATTCTGTTTATTATATAATTATCAGTAAAATCAACTTAATAAGATTTTTATTATTATAAATAATATTACATGGGCACATGGAGATACGAAATTTATTTTTGAGTGTTGAAAAGATCTCTCACGAGAGAGATTTTCAACACGAGAAGATAAATTTCATATCTCCAAGCGCCCATGTAATATTCTGTTTATTATATATCTATCCATAAAATCAACTTAATAAGCTTTTTATTATTACAACTAATAGCTTAAATACACATGGTAACGATATTTTCACATGTGAAAATAACGTTATTTCACGTGAAAATATTAGTTTTTCAAAAAAGGAGAAATATAGGTATTTTATGGATAATTATGATGAATAAAAATATTGAATGTACGAAAAATAAAGATTTTAATTATGAGTTACTATAACATACCTCATAAGGTGCTGTTTTATTTATCAAAAAATTTATTATTTTAATGCGTAAAGAATATAATTAAATATTTGAACTGATGAATTTGTTTTATCCTTTTTACTCCTGTATGATCCTAATGTAAGAATCTAAGATGAGCTCCAAGACAAGGTTTATTGAGTACTACTGTTTATTGTTGCAAACTTCCATCGTTCAGATGGACTTGTCAAAATAACATTACATAAAAACTCCAGTTAAAATCTGTTGAATAGTTGTGATTATAATATTATTAAAGATACATGTTCAAAAATACAGTGTCAATTTCTTTCGAAGTTCATTTACTACTACGCCAAGAGTTTAGCTGCAAAAGAACTGAATTTAATTCCATGATGGAAAAATATATGTAGCGATTTCATGGAAATTAGTGTATATCAAAACCACGCTAATTATTGGTTGGGCTGTATGCTATCACATTCAAGGCTTGATATAAGCCGATACAAGTTCTTTTTATAAGATTAAATCAACTAATATTGAAACAATGGAAAACTATAGTTCCGTAACAGAGTATATGGATTCAATTGAAATGCAGTAGATAATTTTTCTTATTTGTGGTACATTTTGGTACTGTACAATATCTGGAAAAAGTAACTATTTACCATATATAAGCCAGTTTTCCTATGAGTGGGAAACAAAACAGGAAATTCATAACTGTACTGTAGCTACAGGTTGTGATTGGATGATTTACTGGAAGATAATGGAAAGCCATTTCAATGTCATCTTGTCATGCTGTGTATGCGATGTTACAGTACCGTATGTTTCCCACTCATATGAAAACCATTACAATGGTATGGTACGTTGTACCATATACATTAATACATTAGGTAAGCCAGTACCATACATTTCCCACTCTATGTGGTTTGTTGCTGTAACAAAAAGATTTAATTAAAAATACCATTCCTACACCAGTTACCATGGTATCATTACAGGTAAACAGGTATGTCTATAATGATGGTACTTGCAGATCACAAATGAGTTACAAGTGTATGAAATAAGATGCACTTGTTACTAGCCAATGGCGTTAACACATGGAGGGCTTCAAGATTAGCCCATGACAAATTAACTAGTGGAAATGGAATCAACATCTGAACTTTACGTATTTACAGAAGTATGAAGTGTTAGCTAGGCTAATGGTAATATAGTTTAGAAGGATTTAATCTTCTTCGTCACCTTCTTTCTTCTCAACATCATCGTCTTCCATGTTTTCTTCGTCTGCATTTTCTTCTTCTCCATTCTCTTCTACCTGTTCTTGTTCTTCAGGTTCTGCTTCTTGATCTTCGTCAACCTCATCAACATCCTTCACTTCTTCGTCTTCTTCCCCATTTTCGTGTTCTTTCTTTGGGAAAGCAGATCTTGATCTTTCAGGTGACTTAGAACGAGATTTAGATTTCTCTTTACTTTTTTCTCTTGAGGCAGATCTTGAGCGAGATTTGGATCGTTTGGATTTTGAGTTTTCAGGTGACTTGGATGATGAACGGCGTCGCCTCTTTGGTGATCTAGAGCGAGATCTGGATCGGCTGGGACAAAAATGTAATTAGCAAGTTAGGTAGATATGTAAATTTCTTACAGTATCAGTATCAATTCTGTTCCATTATTAACAGCAATTAGCTGAAAAAAAGGGACTCTATTCTTTTCTAGATTAAAGTTTTTTTTAAAAAGTCCTTTGAAGGGTTTTCTGTCTTTTGTTAATCTTCTGGCCTGATCTTTAATTAATGTTTAGTGAAATATATTACTTTTACTTTTTGGTTTTACCTCTTACGACGTGATCTTGATCGGCTTCTACTTCTACTGCGGCTAGCAGAGCGTCTTGTCCTTACTTTTTCCTATAAAATGTCATAAATTGATAGAAATAAGGGTTTGTTATAACAAAATACCGACCTCGTTTGCTTATAATATTGCAGTTATTTCTGTTGTACACAATTTACCTAAATCTACAAATGACTCTACAGGCAATTAAAGAGGCCAATAAGGCCAAATATATTTTATCAGAAGAGAATGGTAAAAGAGTGTGTGTAGTGGACAAACTGATTGATAGCAGGACTGAAGATCTAAGTAGATAACAAGATATAAGTAGTGTGTTTCAAACTTACAACTTTGAGTTTGATGTGCCTTCCAAAAAGTTCTGTATCATCTAGTTTCTTCATCGCAGTTTTCATGTCTTCTTTTGTGGCAAACTCTACCACTCTAAGGGAAAGAAACATGTGCATTGTATGTCAGACCACACCAATAGCAATGTTACAAAATACAAATAGTAACTATGTATTAAACTATTCGTGGCACAAGGAGTATACTACACGATACTCAATCATTATTTATTTGCACCTTGCATAATGTGAGTTCAAATTAATGAATTATGAAATATAACTGGAAATTTGACGACCTAGAAGTTGCTGCCATTACTCAAGCAGTCTGTATTCATTGTTTATGGTTTTTAAATATAAAGCTATAAAATATAGGGTGAAAAACATTTACCCTTCTCCTGCTCTTCTCTTGTGAGCATCAGCAAATGTTACTTCTCCAGCTTTGCCCATATATTCTTTTAAATCCTGTAATAAAAAGCTTCATTACTCATAGGTCAATGCACAGTAGATTAGTCAAATGGATATCAACTGGGGAAAAATTTCCTTGTTGCAATTCTCCTTTAAAATATGAGTCTGCAAATGTGTTTAATAGCTAATTTGATAAACATAGTCTGAATGGTATTTCATATAACAATATATTTCCTACAAACTCAAAATAATCATTAATAGCAGATCAAAAGAATAAAATAAAAGTATGAATAAATTAATAAAAATGACACATGGCAGATAAAACAATATAGACTAAATTATAGATTAATTCATAAATAATTCCAGAAATGAGCTACTATTTATTTTTCTCCTCGTATGGAAACTGGTCTGTTGATGGTTACCAATATAACACGTTGACAACACACAGATATCACATAAAACAATCAAAAATCTGTACAGCCCATAAACCACTGTAAGTGACAGAGTTAAACAAAAAAAGAAGGTTTCCTGACCAATAGAAAGATGGTCTTGAAGTAGAATCAAATGGGAACCATGTAATCCATAAGTCCCACTGTTCCCCTTTAAGAAACACACTTACCTGGCACCAATACACAGTAAAACATATTAAAGGTTCTTTATATTGGCAAAAATGGGACTAGTTAAGACCAACATTACAGTATGGGGGCGTCAATCATCAATGGTGGATTAGGTTTGGCATGTGCGCAACACCAGTGTAGGCTGAAGTGGTCAGCCATACTTTCTCAGTTAGGCTCAAATTTGGTATTGCTTTGGAAAAGACAGAACTGTATGGTTTTAGGGGGCAGACATTGGATTCCTTGAAACCAGAAGAAGTGGCACAGACCATGTTATTGTCTGGTATGTGGATGGATGGACAGGATATTCTACTGTCTAGGTGTACTAGGGTCTGACTGACTGACTGATTGACTGACTGTCTAGGCCACAGGTGGTGGTTAGGTAGAATCAAGGCAAAGTTACTGAACATTTGGTGATCTAAAGACCAAGAGTTTGATACCACATTACTACATGGTAATTAAACACCAAACACTAATAGTTTATTATTGGTTATTTTTACTATTTTAAAGCCTGTTGGTAGCACAGACATCAAAATTGCATTTGATATACATATATTATAAAGCCAAACCTTCTAGCATAAAACCAGATTCTCCTGCGTTAGAAAAAATCAAACAAGAATGCAAGCTGACTGTCATTTAATTTGGAGCATTAAATTAGTATTTAGATAATGCGAGTTACCTTATCCCTATGTTTAATCTTTAAAGGAACAAAGGTTACCCAATAACAAGAAAAGAAACCATGAAGCCATAAAGATTGTATTTACCTGCCAATTACAGCGAGATGATAAGTTAATGACAGCAAGCCTGTGTTCTGTTCTGACTGGTGGGGTACGGCCTCTTCTAGGTGGAGGTCTGCTAGACCTAACAAAATAGGATAAAATAATGATGAATGCATATTGTATACTTAAGGTGACTGCCTACTTTTGGAAATTGATTTAAGCTTTTTCTAAAACTTCGATTTTCCGAATTGAAATTTAATGCTGATTCCAAATCTGGAAAGAAAAATAGGGTGTCCCCGAGCTCGTTTTCGAAATAATCAGCATTTAATGGAAGCCTACGCACGAGCTTTTGGAGTAAAAATTGCGCCACCGGAAGTGATTAGAAAAAAAAAAAGATTAATAAGATAATAGTTATTTGCAGACTATATGATTGCACAAACGAAGGCTAGTCAATCTTTCTACAATAATACAWGGATATTTTCGACAAAAAGACAGAGAGATACATTGATTTGTCATATTTTGTACCTTCGGTGCTCTTAAAAAATCTCAGGAAGTCAAACAAAAATCCCTACAAAAATCTATTTTTTCACGTGTTCCTGATTTAAACTTTTCCTAAAATGTTGATATAACCTAGATTTTTAGGAGTTTTTTTCGAATGAGCTATCAAAAAATATAGAGTCCCGTGCAAAATTTAAGGGTTTTGCCCTGTTGAAGCTGAAAACGCGTATGGTTCTTCAATAAAATCTTGTAGATTTTTCAGCGGTTATTGAGCGCGCGCACATCGTGGGCTCAAATCGAACGTTCAAAAGTAGGCAGCCACCTTAAAGACAAAGAGAGATTGGATGACTCCATGAAAAAATTTTAATATAAATTGATTTTTCACTGAAAATTAATTTTCAACTGTAAATTGATTTTCAACTGTATACTGAATGTAAAGAAGTAAAGTGAAATACCTTGAGCTCTCTCTACTGCGATATCCATAATCAACATTTCTAACAGGATTTCTGGCATGCTCTACTACGATTCTGAAAATCAACAGTACCATTTACGTCAAATTCATCCTTACATTATTTGCAAATCATATTTTCAATGGCTGATTGAAATGTACAGTGGCTGTTATTCCATATTTGGTTTTGGGTCAAGCTGGTTCAAGTTGGCAATGCAGTGTTGTGGAACTGTTTTAGGGGATAAAATAGATGCCATTTTGAAACCTGCCAATTCACTGCATTGCCAACTTGACCCAGATTATCCCTCAGCCAATTCCATTATAATCATCATTGGTTTTTCTCAGGCTGAGCACCTGGTGCATTCTGGTCTAGCTTGGGTAAAACATCCTGTATGTTTGCTGTGATAGTGAATAGTTAGTGGCTCATAGTATTAAAAGCTAGGTCAAAACTGACTACATTTGTCATTCCAGAAAGGGCATTATTAACATAAAAAATAAACAATAATCAACTTATTTAAAAGTTTTCCTTCTTAAAGACTGATGTATTTGAAGAATGAAGCCTATTGAGTGTAGAATGTGTGAACATGTGCAAACTTGTCTTGAAGAGAATCCTAACAGCCCTTATTATATACAGTTATTACCTTTCTCCAAGAAAATCCTTGCCATTTAAATCATAAACGCAGTCATCAGCATCTCTTGGCTCATCGAATTCCTAAAACAAATGTTTGTTAGTATTTTTACGCCTCCGAGTGACGAAGATGTAGACTAATCTGTGTAGACTCACCACAAAACCGTAGCCTAACTTGATACTTATCTCCCGAACGCGACCGTAATTCCGAACAAATTTCTCTAAATCTCGTTCTCTAACATCTCTTGGAAGTCTTCCGAAGTAAACTCTAGTTCCACCACGCGACATTGTGGTATTTTTTTGCTAAAAACGTAAAGGACTTCCAACGTTCTTCTAGTCTTCAACAAAATGGCGTCTTGTGCAAGACATGCAGGACGCCTCAAGTCCCGGATGACCACGAGTTGGGACATGATGGCACATCATGCTCTAGGGACACGGACATCTATGGCTATATGGATCCTGAAGGTTCTTTTTTATTTTTTATTTCATAAGAAAACGAAAGAAAAAGTATATACAGTAACAGTTTAAATTTTTTTGCTTAAACTCATTTAGTTCTTTTTAAATTAAAAGAAAGGATGTTTATGATAACGTCCTTCAAGGTTCTAGAAATTTGTCCACAGGGAGCCCGAGTCTTGATTTTGTATTAAATAATCTAAAGCTTGGTTACTACAGATATAAGTCGATATATAAATAGTTATAAATAATCTTCATTTTCTTTAAATATTCTTAATTAATGTGATCATGGAATCATCGGAATAATGGTGGGTTTTTTTGTGATGTGTAAAAAGAGATGTTGGGTTACCTGTGTCGCGTCACGCATCAAGTTTTTTTCTGGTGTTATTCTGGACCGTGACGAACGCCTGTCAAAGAGTTTACACTTGCTTCCACAAATCAAAAGTATTAGTCTCTCTGCTTGACTTGACTCGAAAAAATGTCATCAAGCGGCTTTCTTGCCATCAACATTCTCTCATGTTAAGAGACACATCTTTGATCTCTCTGTGTATGGTATGAATCGGTATGAAACGAAGACATGATGACTTGTACCTTAATGAACTTACTTATCCTTCGTCTATGTCCATCTGTCCCGTTTGTGGTTCCTCAATACCTAAAGACAACATAGATCTACATGTACAACAGCATTTCATCCAACCACAGCCTTCAACATCGACTATCACTACCAATTACTGTGATCTAGAAGGTAAAATATTCGTTTGAATCATTTTAGTTTGATAACAGCCAAAAAATCTTGTGTTAAATCAAATGGCAATCTTGAAAACCCAGAACTGGTGGCCAAAATGTAAATTGATAATTGTATGTTAAAATTTGTTCTGGTTGTTTTTTGATAGTGCCTGGATTTTCTGACGCTGCTGATTTTAAAATATGTAGATTTGGACACTGTCAACAAATAGGTATGCTGAAAAATGATAATTATATATATTTTTTCTAATATTATCTAGAATTTTTCTCTATTTTTTTGCCAAACTTTATTTTTAAAATCATGAATACATTTATTAAATAACATCTTAATAATATATTGTTTGGTGCTGGTGTCGATTGATTTTTTACTGTCTAAATGCTACTGGTCAGTGATCTTTGATCAAACTAGTTTATGTTTTTTAAGTGTTTTTCAATTTTTCTTACTGGCGACTGACATGAATTTCTTCCAGATAGATATGTTGTCAAGAGAAGATATCTCTTTACATAACTATATTATAAGTATCTTAATGCTGTGTTATTTGAATGTTTTTATATTTTTCCTCAGAACTAATAATAATAAAGTTCAATTGCTCAAGTTATAATTTTTTTCATTGACACATCTGTCCACTTTCTTATTTTCTACTTCATATTCTGAAGCTTTGGAACTTAAACATTGTCTAAATAGGAAGAAAAATGATATTCATCATACCTCAGCCAAACATGTTACAATATATGGCTGGAATCTAGTTAAAACCAACATTAGTTTGAAATTAAATCATTCATAATCACCTTTACTTGGCACAACTAGTAGATCACTGTGTTGAGCCTGAAGCATAAAGGTACAGTACATGCGCATGTAACTAACATTACACATGCATGGCTTTGGAATAAATATACTTTGTTTTTATGCTACAGATGCATTCACATCATGAAACAATGTAAGACCTTGGAACTCTAATTAACTTTAATAGTTACTGTATGATTGGTTTATGAGAGAAGGGAAGTAAAGCACTAGTGCAGCCAAAAACAACAGAAGAAAATCATCAGCCAATCAGCTAGACACCTGTAAAATGAATGAATCTCCCTAGGGTGCCCTGGTTGGTATGGGTGTTGGTATGGTTTTTTAAAGATTCACCCGAAGGTTTTTGTGAAATACAATAGGATTCTAAGTCCCCTACTAAAAAGTTAATAGTTACTAGATCTATTTAGCTTGTGTGTAATGTTTTACCCATTTCAGACCACATGTCATTCTCTAGAGAATAAGATTCTTTGTACATGTATGAGTTGTATCTAATTCATGTGTTTTCTCATGTGCAACCATTAAACATAAAGAAATTATACTTAGAGAATGACATGCGGTCTGAAATAGAGAAGAATTATGTACAAGCCAAAAATGTCTATTTTTATTTAAACAGAATGTTTTCTTATAGTTTCTTCAACAGAGTGGGAAGACCATTTATTTGCACACAGTATAGAAGATCACACTAATTTATTAAGCACCAATTCCCATCAGAATCACCATGAAAACACTATTTTGGATCCCCATAACCTTAATATTGACACATCAGTACACACACAAGTCCACAATACTGATCGAGCCATAGCACAAGAGCAAAGAGAAATGGAGAGACTTGAGATTCAGTCTTCCCAGTGGAATGATCATTTACTTGCCAAGGCAATAGAAAGTGAAGAACAGAAGGAAATGGAGGAACAGAGGATGAAAGAGGAAGAAGAGTTCAAAAAGCTCCAGGTAGATAATGTCAGTTTGTAAAAACACCTTCAATTTCTATTACGACTCAGTTAACAGTTACAGATTGAATTGGGATGTAAAGATTTGCAAAGGGAGGAAAACCAAATAATTGTGACAAAAAGCTCTTCAATCAAGGGTACAGAGAGACCTAACCAAACTCTACTCATACAAAACCAAGACCCTACACAAGGGGGATCTATGGGAGGGATGCAGGTGGTGGCATCCCCCACTAGATGAGCTGATGATCTTTTTATGTAAAAATAACTCATGGATTTGTCTTGATCATAAATGGTGTTGACCCTCCTAAATATTCTTGGAGCCACCCTTGCCTTATGTGAGAGGGTTGTGTACAACCACCATGCCACACTTGATTCCATAAGTATTCAAAGCTAACACTCTTGGTTTTAAACAGGCAATGTATGGAATGAATAAAGTAGGTGGGTATGTCACTCAATACAGTCAACACTTGGAGAGAGATGTTAACAGAGGTAAAGCATCAGTTGGTGACTATTATGCCAGAAAAGCAGAAATGCTGAAAATACTCATGACGGACACTGACAGTGGAGAGTCTTGTACAAGAGGTGAGAAGATAGAAAAAATTCTCTGAACCCTCCCTGCCTTCCCCTCCTCACACACACAGGCCAATAATATTGGCCTATTTCTCTCGGAAATAGCCCATGATAACCATGCAAGATCCCAGTTTTATTGCACATATATTATGGGTAGTTAGCACATCTAACTGAATTTTTTAGTAAAACATTCTTTGTGCAGTCTTGGAAATATTAAGTAGAATGAAATATTTTTATTTGATGTACTTTATATCTGCGGGCTGTTAAGTAACAGCTCACCTATGGCTTGTTACCTTTAATAGTCCAGTTCCAAGTTCCAAATTAAGTCTGTGTTTCTTGATTACAGACTGATTTACTCAGGCTTAGCCTCGAATCAGTGTCTAATTACTCGCAAATACCAACGGTAAAGTAAAGAATGCACAACTTCAACAATATTAACACTTTGAAACTTGACAGACCTCAACGGGAACACGTGAATATTCTTTACAACATTGAGGCTTAGCCTGAGTAAATGAGTGTAATCAAGAAACACAGTGGTAATTTGGAACTCGAAAAGGGTATATTCCCATAAACTAGCTGCTAATGTTGTAATATATCATATAAAATATATTTTAATTTAAACTACAGTGATATCTTTTAAGAAACCGTAATTTTTTTTCAAATGATGTGTCCAATTCAAGCTTAACTTCAGCAACTGAGTTGGGATGCAATTATCTTTTGACATAATGTTTTGCATCTTTTCTTAGGCATTATTCCTCAATTACATCACCGTTACAAGCTGGGAGTAAGTGGCACCAAGCAGGCATGGTCATCATCAGATACTGACCACTATGCCAGCACAGTAGGGGATGCTGGCTGGGGCTGTGGATATCGCAATCTTCAGATGTTGATCTCGGCATTGTTAAGAATCGATGTGTACAGGCCCATGCTTTTTGCAGGTGACTTCAATAATTGGACAATAAACTTACTAAGACTGTAATACGTTGGTACCTCTACTATATATTAAGTGGACACTGGTCTTCATTAAACCCACAGCTAGTTGCATGGGTACCGTTGCATGGCCCTGATATTTTCTTACCATAGTTGAATCCTGTAAAACAAACCTCTATTCAGCAGATCTAGAACAGATTCTAGATCGAAGGTGTCCACCTTCAGGATTGTACAATTTGAATGATTTTATTCACATGTACTGCAGTGGTACTTCTATTATTGGACATCTATTATGTTTCTTGATGTCAAAGATTTTGATATTATGCCCTTACCCTGATCTGTTTTGCTAATGTTGCTTTGTTCTAGTTGGCGAAAATGTTCCTTCAATACCACGAATACAACAGCTTATTGAGGCATCTTGGAATGCTGGTAAGTCTAGCTATTATGAGATGGGATGATACAAAATTTAGATGATTAGGATACTTTATGATGAATAAAGAGGGTGATGATGTCAATACGGTGATGATGATGGTGGTGAAGATGATGACGATATAAAATGAAGATGATGATAGTGGTGATGGTTGTGGAGATGATGGAGATGATGATAATGATACATGTACATTACATAATGAAAATGATGATGGTGGTGATGGTGAAGATGGTATGATGATGATGATGGTGGTGATACATAATGAAGATGATGATGATAGTGGTGATGGTGAAGATGGTATGGTGATGGTTGTGGAGATGATGGTGGTGATGATACATGTACATTACATAATGAAAATGATGATGATGATGGTGGTGATGTTGAAGATGGTATGATGATGATGGTGGTGGAGATGATGATGATGATACATAATGAAAATGATGATGAGGCTGATGATGATAAAATGGTTTAATGATAATGATCATTTTGCCAGTAATAACTGTGAGTGTACTGATAATAACTGTGCTTTTTAGGGTTTGACAAACAAGGAGCAGAACAGTTGGCCTGTAAGCTGATCAACACAAGAAAGTGGATTGGGGCAACAGAGATTGCTACTGTTCTGCGATCACTGGGGTTGAGGTAACCTGTTCTCTTTAGTAACCTTGAGGCTGTCACCCCCGTCAATGGAACACTGAAAAAATTCACATTACGATTGGATCCAGTGGCTGAAATGCCAATAGAACCATTCAATTTATTGTTTACCTATTTCAAATCATGTTGTATTCCTTTGAGTAATATTTCTTTGTTTATCTGTAATACTCGAGAACTGAAGAAGATTGAAATAAAACGCAAACAGGTATCTCATTACTAAGGGAATAACATGTGTTCTTTAATGGGAAAATACTACATGTATGTCCAAGTTGAATGGGTCTATTGGTGGAAGTCCCACTGTCAACTAACCCTTTTATCAGCCCACCTCTCAAAATGTTTTTTTTTTATAGAGCGAATATCATTGACTTTCATCGAGCTACTGGTTGTGATGGAACTCATCCAGAGATGTTCTCGTGGATCAAGAGATATTTCAGCTGTGGTGTACCTGGGTTTAATACAGGGATGGGTTTGAACCAGGCACATGCTGGTGTACTGAAACAAACTACAAGACCACCGCTATATCTACAGCATCAAGGTATGTCGTAGGACAGTTCGGGTCAAGATATATACAGCTATTTCAAAAAAGGTTGTTGAAGGTTTCATGTTGCATGCTCAACTTGACACGTATAGGCTGATTGCATTCACATTGATCAACCAGAGTGCAACCCACAACAAAATCTTTATCAATAGCCATATTTAAGTTATTTCAAACCTATTTTGGTCCGACTCTAGCTGACTCTCAACTGTTTTTCTTCTTCTTTTTCCCCCTTCAAATTTCACAGGACACAGTCGTCTTGTCATTGGAGTAGAGGAACACTCAGGCAAAGATGGAGGTCTGTTTCTGCTCTTGTTTGATCCTTCTCACTCAACCAAACAAATGCACAGCTTACTGGACGACATCCAAACAAGTAGCTCAGGTCTGAGGCACCTTAGACGCTCCCTCAAACAGATGCGTTGCAAACAGTATCAGATTGTGTATGTGGATGGTATCATGGATGCACAGGAGATGGAAAGAAGTAAAATACTAAACAGTGTTAGAGTTCCTTGATTGCAACTGTAACATTAATAAAGTATTGTATATTCTTGGATATAGTAAAGTATTACCGAATTGAAACCCAGAAAGTACATTGGAAAAATTTACTCTCAAATCAATTCACAATAATTTGTTTGCGCTACGTTTATCAATACTTTTTCTCCTCTCAGTAACGGAGTAAGTTACATCCTCTGTGATTTAAAACAGACTGCAAATATATTTATTGTCATTTTCTATATTTCTTTGGGGTTGTATTTGGTTTACAAGTGTTGGGACAATATGAAATCAGCTATGATAACTTGCCATTATAAGTCATCTTGAACGAGATTTCCGGATACACTAAATGTAGCAAAGGAAATTTAAAAACTACAAATATGAATACAAATCTGTAAGTATTTTGATTATAGTACTAACTAATTCGAGTGAATAAAATGAAGCACAAACTAAACTACTTATTTTTTCTGTTGATTGCAAACATCTAATTTAGCTAGAGTGTTTTAGTTCTGTCTCATTTCTCATACACTGATGGTGACATAATCACCAATAAGAAAGAAAGGAGTCCAGTACTTTGGTATACTGTATAAATCTTGGTTCTCTCTCATTTCTCATACACTGATGGTGACATCATCACCAATAAGAAAGAAAGGAGCCCAGTCTTTCGGATCTTCGAATTCTCCTCTTATGTCATCCATGGCAATTTGTAGGCTTTTACTTGCACTTTCTCCCATCTTTAGAAACGTGTAAAAGGTTGCCATAAAATTAAATGTAGTCTCGTCATCAACGGCCCACAACGACGCTACAACAGCACGAGCTCCTGCAGCAAGAAAAGCTCGACTCATTCCAACCACTCCCTCTGCCTTGATGTCTCCACTACCACTGTGACAGCAGCTTAGGACAACAAGTTTTGCTTTCACACCAATCTCTTGTACCTCCTGCATTGTTAACATGTAGTCTTGTTCGTCTGGGATACTTGTTTCATGTATTCTTGGTGGAGGGGAAAGAGCAATGTATCCATTCTCTGAGTCTCCATGTGCTGCAATGTGAATGACACCAACATCTCGCAGATTCTTCTTGACCATTTCTTTGGTTGCCTCTGATCCAGTCAAGGGCGTGACATTCAACATATTTCCAACGACTTTAGCCTCATGTTCTGCAGAAGGAAGAGTCTTCATCACGGTCTTTTCCCCTTTAAATATTACTTCCCCAACATGAGGGCCTCCGATAACAAGTGCGCCTGTCTCACAATGACTGTCCGCTGGACATTCTTGTAAATACTTTAGTGTCGTCAATGAAGGTGCAATCCGAATACACTTTGTTTCTGAAAGAAAATTTTCAGTGATTGGATCTCGTAAAGCTGCAAATGGTACCTTAAACAAAGATCTATCAGGAATGATAATGATTTCTTCTTCCTTGAGTTGCTGCAGGATGGGTGCAATCAAATGACTGAATAACGTTTCAAGTGGATCTGCTTGCGGTTCACTTGTTGGTTCATCTTCAGTTGTTGTGACATTTCTCTCAATTGATGACCCCTCGTCAGTTGGTGTGACATTTCTCTCAGTTGATGACCCCTCGTCAGTTGGTGTGACATTTCTCTCAGTTGATGACCCCTCGTCA